GTTTAACCTTGCGTGATGGGGGCTTCACACCGGCTCTTCCGAGCCCGACGGCGGGAGCTTGGGGGAATTCGGGCAAAGGGTCCGACATCGCCTCTCTCTCAGCTTATGGTTGCTTGAAACTCTTGATGAGTGGCAAGCACTTAATGGGTCGCTTCTCGAAGTAAGACTGTGCCTTGTGGCCCGTCCCCCGACTTGAAGCTTGTCAGTCCTCGATGCAGTCCGAATTGGTTGGATCGAGCTACCCTTTTGCTCCCGAAGAACAGCGGTTGTTTGCAGTCTAAAACCTGAATGGAGATCCTTTCTCCTCCAACCCAGGGTCCTTTCTGCTCAGGGAGACCCAACTTGGTCTATTCGTCGAGGTTTCGGAAGGACCGGCAAGGCCCACCTTTTCCCAGGTCTTCTCTTAGACCAGCGATTCTGACTTGGACGCCCAGGAACCGGTAAATACACGTCAAGCTTCGCCTTGCAACAGGCTTGAAACGGCGTCTCGCGTTTTCGCACATTCTCCTTCCAGGGCTCATTTGCCGCTTTTTGATGAAACGGGTCCCGGTGGAAAGTGGCGATGGAAAGAAAGCCTCTCGATTCCCAGCCAATGGCTCCTATTCCCTAAGTCATCCAGACACTCTGTGGCAGGTGCAATGTTGAGCCGTTGCTGGAGTAGGAAGGCGTTTGCCTTCAAGCCTGGCTTTTCGAACACTACTGTAGCGAGCTCAGAGACATTTGATACAGTATTTGGCGCTATGAACCCGGGGTTCGCAATTCCCTGGTTGATTGATAGGGAGTATTTAGGGAAGATGCTTAACGTCCACCCCTCACTTCACCCATGTGCACCAAGTCTTGTTTTTAAAGGTTTGTGGCCTCACACGGAGATCCATGTCTACTTTCAGGTGGCTGGTTTTGTGCGATTCTCTCAGGAATTCCTTCCACAACAAGGAATTAATGGGACAATCAGGAGGGTGATGTTGATTTTGGGGCCCAAGAAATCGGAAGAAACTTCCTGCAGTGTTAATGTCACCCTAAGGATTCGGTTCCTTTCGCTGGCTGGCTTGCACGGGTTGAAAGACGCTTGGCTGACGGCCTGTGGCAACCTTGCTCGCTTGGCGGCATCCGCAGGGACAGTGAAGAGGGGTTGCACCCCGAAGAGGGGTTGCCCCCCCAAGGGAAACTGAATTAATCATCTATATTCCGATAGACATGTTCTTTCCTCGAGTCTCTCTTGGACCCTCGAATCTTGGCAATGCACGCAGCGTTTGGTACATAGTACCATGTTCACTGGCTTCGACTTCACCATTGAGCAGCCAAGTTGAGTGCGCTTCCCGGTGCGGTATGGGGAGTATATGGGGAACTCTGCAAGTGTCTGCAAAATGTTCGGATGCTAAGGTATTCAATCGGAGCCCGGCATCCCCGGAAGCCCCGAGTCCTGCTCTCGCCTGCGCGCTTCGGCATCGCCTCTTGAAATCGCGCGCCTCCAATCCAAACGCTTTTGAAATCACTTGAAACTTAACAGCTGTCCAACAAGTGTTAGCTGTTGTTTTCCAGGATTCGGAGGAGAAAGCCTAGGCCGACTTTCTGGCTGAAAATGATTCAAAGGTCCCAAGCTACGCTGGATCTTGACACCCGGATTCTGCGCTTGCCATGCCGAAGTTGTTTGCACATGTACTCATGAGCTCAATTGCGCCCAATTCAACCCATGAGTCGGCCAGAGTTGTTCACTTTTCGAGGACCTGTTTCTGGAAGGGAGCCCAGGGTAGTTTGACAGCAGGCCTTTACGGGTCTTATACAAACTTGACTGCTATTGGGCTGGATCTTTCGACTTTAACTTTTTGGGAAATCAAGGGGTTTTCCACTAAACCCCCAAAAAGTTAAACTTTTTGCAGGGGGGTCAACAGCAACCAAGTAAAGGTGAAATAGATGAATCACGAGAGCCACGGTGGTGCAGCCAAACGTCAATAGGCTTCGCGCGCTCAATTGGACTAATGGAAGCAAGTGTTCAGGCGGCACGGTCAGGGAAGGTTTGGGGGAACAATTTAAAACTAATGCTTTCGAGGGCATCCCATGACCAACAGGTCTCTCCTCCAAAAGGGCCTCGCTTCGTCAGGTTCCGAATTGCTTAGGTAGCTGGTCCATCTGGTGAATGAATCGGAGAGACCTTTTCAAGACATGGTTTGCTGAAACCTTCGGAAGGTTAGACCTTTTGCTTAGGGAAGAGCAACCCAGGTGGGTACTTTTCGGGAAAGCAATTTCAGCCACTCAGGAAGTGTCCTCCCCTTTCATGTTACAGACCAAATGGTCAATTCTCATGTCGCGTGAGGGCAATTTGCACACGGCAACGCACCACTCACCATATTCGCAAACATAGCGTCTCGCCAAATGTTTGGTGACAATACAGGTTGACCAGCATGGAATCCACAAGAAAAAGGTTCCCCTGATCGAGCTTTGGGGCTAATAAGATTGTTGAAGAGGCATGGCACGGCAGGCGCTTTTGCCCCCGAAAGATCCGCGAAGGAGCCTGCGAAAGCGAACTGTTTATTCGCGAAATATTTGGCGCTCTAAGGCTTTTGGAGGCATGCCTGCATGTGGGCATGCTTGTATGCGGGCATACTTGTATGCGTATACGACATATTTGAAGATCCCACTTGCTTGTGGGCAGGGAGATGTGCAGCACCTTGACTTCCGTCCCTGGCCCTGCCTTTGCTGTAGGAGTTGTGCACGGCCAAAACCGTTGTCTGCGCGCAAGATCCGCGAAAGTCAGGTGAAAGCCCATGGAAGGCTCCGCACAAGAAGGCAAATGATAGCGACTGCTTTCATTTAGCGCTGCTGTGCTTGCGAGCAAAACCGCAGCAGCTATGGCTTCAGAGCTTGCGCTGCAAACACAAGGGTGCGGCGATGGAGTCGCGAAAGATTTGCAGAAGAGATTTGCTTGCTCGTCAAAGAAAGTACCGTTGTGTAAAGGAGGAATATTGATCAACAGCGCCGTGAGAGGTTTGTTCAGTAAGGAATTCCATGCAAATATGATGCATTCATGAACTCAGGAAAATGCGTGGTTCCCTTCCGTTTCCCGAAGCAACAGCCCCAACACACTGGGCGGCAAACACACACTGACATCACACCCATACCTCGATGGTCAGAACTTGAATGCTTGGCAAGCGCCGATGAACGCCTTTTTCCGAGAAAGCAAGTGCATTCCCAGGGCAGGCGGTACGCCTGCTATCCTGACTGGTAAATTAATCTGGGGAATGTACGAATTCTAGATTTGACTGCCACCCCCGTTGCAGGCTCAAAATAAAGTTTGGGCGGGTTGGATCCTAGAATAAGTCACTTTTTGTTTTTAGTCCAACCCCCTGTTTCCATTAAAACTCATTTTAAACTCATTTTGGCCTCTTTGAAGAACCCTTCAAAGTTGGACTGAAGTCGTTTCAAAGTAACCTGAGGCAACCCGCTTCTTCCCCAGGAAGAGTTGGACCCCCTTGACTTTATTTCATCCAAACAAAATAATTAAATACGTTTTGTCCAATTTGGATTGTTCAAGCCAAACCCCCAAATTCAGGTCAACATAAATCGTGATTTTTCAATGTACTTTCTGTCAATCTTGGACTATTCCATGTTATTTTCCAACAAGGATGGATTAACCCTATTTTATCTGATAAAATGGGGCGGGGGGTTCAACCTTGTCTGGAGCCTCTGACGGGGGTGACTGCCTTCGTGGTATGTTTTCGGGACCCTTGCCCAGGAGTGCATCTGTTTGGCGCTTGCATATTCGCATTTGCGAATCAAGCCGCCTATTCGCGCCGCAGAATCCTGTTTCTTCCCATTTTGGCATATCCTTTGAAGCTCGTTTCCGGTTTACGGGCATCTAGGATCTGTTTGGAACAAGAGGCCTGTCCACGGACTTGCGAGTACTGATCAGAACAGCCTTTGAGTGTTCGGCATTGATGTTTTGAATAGCTTCGGAAATCCAATCTTTCACAACACGAGCTTCGGATTTGCCAAACCTCTGCCAGACAAAGGCAGCAGGCGGCTGCCTTGCAGCCTCAGTCTTGCGCACCAGGTCAACGGAGCAAAACCGCCGAACTGCATGGGGTGGCAACAGAAGGCGATCGCCTCATGGAGAGATGTCCTTTGAAGCCCCGAGCCTTGTGTTCCGGGCGCAGAAGTTTGCCTTGAAGGGTTGTGCTTTGGTGACATCCCCATGCAATATCGTGGGCATCTCCGGACCTCCAGGTGCCCGTGCAGGTTTGCTTTGCACAAAGAAGTGAGGCGCCCTTTTGTTCTCATAGAAATTTAGTGGAGAGTGCTGCCAACGGTGTGGGCGCATTCTTGCAAGATTGATGGCCGGGTGCTCGGGGGGCTGTTTTTTGCGGTGAATGGTGTAAGTTGGGTGCTGTTTGGGGGTTTGCGGTGCTGTTTCGGGGCGCATTTCTGCAAGATTGCAGGCAGGGTGGGTGGGGGGGCTGTGGGGGGTGCTCTTCAGGTTCCTGTTGGTGCGGTTTTGCGAGATTGACGGCAGGGGTGCTATGGGCAGTTTGGGGTGCTGGTGCAGGGGTGCTGTTGCTCCATTGGAGGTGCTACGCGGGCGCTTCTTTGCGAGATTGACGCAGGGTGCTGGGGCATGCAGTTTGGCTTCAGGGAGTTCAGGCTATTGGAAGAGTTAGTGAGGGAAAGGCCCACATGTTTGGGGTTTTGACCATGGAGCATATAGCCCCTCTGTGGGTATGGTTCCTGGCTCAGAGATGTTGTGTCGATTTCTTACTGTCTATGGTGCATATGGGAGGCACATGGCGGAACTCATTTTATAACTCTCAGGGTTGATTCCCGATTCTTTTCAACCATCATTCTTTTCAATAGCCGATCGCTGTGTTCCTGGGATTTTGGTTTCCTGGGATTTTGGTTTCCTGAAAAAAGTTTGGGATCCCTGGAAGGAATGGAAACGGAAGGTAGCCCTCGAGCCACAAAGTCCAAGGGGCGGACTTCGATTGGCTCTCTCGTTTTTCGTCTCTCAGGTCCTCTCCGAGAGCCTGGCGGCCCGGGGGTCTCCGTTTGGACACCCAGGCAGGGTCATGTCCGTCATATTTGGAGCACAACAATATATCATATATTAGGATATATAGACCAAAACAGAAGGATCATCTGAAAGAGGAACAGGGCTTACCGCAGGGAAACCATGGTCATTGCACCATACTCTGGCATACGGTCATTACACTATAGCTATGAAACCATGGTTAAGGTGTAAGCCACGGGTGTTTCCTCCGAAGTAGTTTGGGGGTAGCGGAAGCTCTCGCAATCGGATTTCCCGTTTCAGCTGGTTTGAGTCATGTTCGTTGGGGAGAGCCGTTGGATTTGGAGAGGTCGCTGCATATAAATCACAACATTGACTTCAGAATAATGTGGACCACGCAAAATCCGTGGCTTTCGTTTTGGTGGTTGGACAGCATTCGCGTGTGGCTCAAGTTCTCTTGTTTCGTGCGGTTATCCTTTTGATCAATCGAATGCTAGATGATTTTACCTACCCTAAGCATCATTGCACCAGATCTTCATTGGCAGGTTTTGGACATGTTTGGGCCCCCCAAACAAATCCCTTTTGGAGATCCCAAGATTGCTAGGGTATCGTGAGAAAGGAGTGTCATCCTTGCCTCCTTGGCTGACCTTTGTTTCATTTTCACACGGTACCACAAGTCCAAAAACGTCCAATTCTATCAGTATATTATGGCGTCCCTCAGCTTCCGTTTCCTGGGCCAAAAGTGGATCAGTTTTGCTGGAAAACCAATCCGATCCTCCACTTTCAGAAAGGGTTGACTTTCTCTTGAGCCCAAGAAGCCAAATTCCGAGTCCCGGGTTTTTTGGAACCTACATGGAAAAGTCACCGCTCAAGCCGGGAGCCTGTCCCAAGCTCCCAGACCTATTCGGTGTCACTCACATGTCAGCGCCAGGTCTAGGTATGGGCTTGAGGCAGTTTGCACGGCACTGTATGCATCGTCTAGCAACTTTCACTTTTAGCCACCGTTTAGAGCGTCATTTTGAGGAGGTCACTTTGGTGGACCATGTAGCTAGAAACCCTGACCAATCTGGAAAACACCGCAACCAGACAAGAGCCAAGCAACCAAGCAGAACGCAGATGGTGATGTTTCACCATGATTGATGTGGTCTCCACAGCCATGGCTGGTACGTTTGCACGTGTATCTTTGTGCTTGCACCTGCCATTCGCTCGGTCCGAAGTTTAGGATCAAAGCACACATTCTGCAAGGCTGCAGGCAGTTGAGTTTGTCCTATGCAACTTGCCGGATAAAAGCGCCGTGTTGGGTGGTGCCATCTCTCTTCGGGTGTAGAGAGGTTGGAGGTGTAGTTTGCAGCATGATACTTCCGCATCTTCAAGCTGGTGGGCCCGCACGGCCTGGCCTCGACTCGGTGGTCGTTAAAAAGATCAGGTTTCCCAACGCTTCCCCTTGTGGAAAGGGTTTCCCAAAAGAAACAGCTGAGTGGTTGGCGTCCTGGATCCCTTGAAGCCATGTCTTCAAGGGTGTCCGTTTTTGTCGGAAGGCAGCAAGTTGTGTTCATCTCATTTTGACAACCATATTTGTAATAAAACAGAAATGTGCTCTCAGCAACTTTTGCGGTCGGCGTGAATCCACTCGCGCAATGGGACTGCCAGAGCCCCAGAATCTTGGACCCTGAGACCCCAAAGACCCCAAAGACCTCGGAAACAGTTTTTTTTAGAGGCCTCGAGACTAAGGTTCCATGGTTGTTTTCAAAATCGAAGTTGCCATCGCCTTCTTTGCTTGACACAGAATGGTTTGAGCATGTTCCCGATTAGGGTCACAAGGACGTTGCCTTGTGTTGGTTTCCGATTCGGTTTGGTTTCTTTGTTGATGGCTTCTTTTTGGTGCCTCCTTCCTTGTGTTCCTTCTTCTGTTTGTCCTTGGTGTGGGTTTTGTTTGCGTTGGACTTCCCCTTTTATTGGTGTCTCTCCTTGTTGGTTGTCCAGACATGTCCTTCTTGTTGGTTTGTTCGTTTCGTTTGTTTCCCTTGCTGTGGTTGTTCATTGAAATTTGCTTCCCCTGTTGCCGGATTTCTCAGCTGGGTTCACCGCCAGTGATGACCCTTCATTTTGCTCCGGGTCTCTTTCCGCAACCAGCCGCATGGTTTGAGTTTGAGCTGTTCTTGTGACGACCGATACCCCTAAATGACTACCCAGAAACAATCCCAGCCACAAATAGGTTCGGACATCTGCTTTTTGCTTTCTTATATTGTTTGGGTAGACCCAATTTTCAAGGTTTGATTTTGACTCAAATCCCACGAGCATACCTCTTCCCCTCAGGTCTTCGTTGATGCGGGCCCGGAATGGCCTGGGGTGCGCCAATTCGACTCGTTTTGGCTCGGTGTGACTTCGGCACTGGCTCGCGAGGTAAAAGGCTGACCAGCCCTAGCAAGGATCCTGTCATGGGAGGTACCCTTTGCGAAGGTAACAGATGCATCTTCAGGGGTGCGCGTTGTTTGCGTTTCATGTGTCCGTGTTGGGCATGTGCCGGAGGTTTCTGCCAATGCTGGACAAACCTATATACTACCAGCACCTGAACGACCCAACCACCCAATTCAATACGTCCAACTTGCAGAGAGCACCCTGTTGCCTTTTGGTTGCTGTCGGAGGGACCCTGAGAAGCACCATGCCCTGGGCGCCCCCACCTGCCCAAATGTCAGAGGCCCCGACGGTCTCCAGACCGTGAAGAAATCTGACCTTACGGAGACAGCCCAAAGCCTGCAGGTACTTGGTGATCATCTCAATACAGTTCGGAGCAGCTGGCCTGTTGCACGCCCGTGCCATCCTGCTGGGAGTCGGAATCCAAAGATGCAGAGGTCTAAGAAGGAGGTCGCTTCAATGTTGGGTTTTTCACACAAGTATGGCGCACCCCAACAAGTTGCTGGTTTCGCATTGGCCGTTTTACAATTCATGGAGGTCCGCCCCGAAGAAAGACAAGCCCATGTTTAGTCCTCGAAGGACGATGTAAGACACTACCCTGTTGGAGAGGCCCATTTGGGTTGGGCGATGTTTCAAGGGGGCTTGTCTTTTCGACTCTGCAAAAGGAGCCATGATCAAATCGAATCCAAGTAGTCAGGCCGAAGGGGAAGACTTTGACTTTTGGGTACGCACTCGTACTGGGGGGGGCCTACTGGGGGCACGCCTCCTTAAAGCAGCTGTCACTTTGGACGCAGAACTAGGAGCACCTGTTCCGTTGGCTTGGAAAGAAACCACCTGACACCAAGCCTTTTGTGGAAGTGTTCCAGGTTTGGACACCTTTGTCCACTTTTGGGGAGTGGCTATTTGAAGCTTGAATCAGTGCCCAGTTTGGTGGGCCCAAGATAGTCAATGAATGGACATTTGCCCGATTAAGATTCCGGGTATTGGGCCTGTCTGGAGCCTGGAACCACACGTCAATAAACTTTGAGCGTTTTGGTGCGGTGGTTTCGGAGCCTCGCTTTTTGCGTTGCCTTTCCTTGGGCGGGTGGTGGTGGTTGTGTGTGTTGTTGTGGTGGCTTTGGAGGTTTTGGTTTTGAAGGGCTTAGCGGTTTTGGCTTTGGTTGTGGTGGTTTTCTTTTGTTGTGGTGACTTTGGTGGCTATGATTTTGTTTGGCCTGTTCTATTGTTGTTTTTTTTGGGTTAGGAGCCAAGGCTGAGGTGGCTGTGGGTACACCAATCGTTCATGTGATGGCGTCAGTTGCTGAGTTTGGGGATAGATACCCAATTTCTGGGATCGGTGCACCTCTCTCGTTCAATGGTTTTCTTTGCCAGCTTTTGACAGGTTCCAAGATAAGCTCCCAAAGGTAGAACGAGCTCACCCATGACAAAGCCAAGTTTCGGTGGGAGGGTAGCCCGGTAGCCCGATGCCAAGTTTGGATCGAATCCCTGGGTTTCAGCGGGCACCAACCCCCTTGTTGGTCGACAGGCGGGGCATGGGAATGACGCCATGAACGATCCCCTTCCGGCTCATCCCAAGAGAGCTGCAAGTTGAAAGTTGCTGACCAGGTGAAGGAAACCATGTTTTTCTCTCGAGTGACTCTGATCAGCGGTCACTCTAAGATTTTGCCCGACCACTTTTGCAGAGTGTTTTCAGGGCCTCAAGGGACCTGGTTGAAGGCGTGCAGCCGCTGCTGGCGAAGCAGTTCATCAACCATGAGGTGATGCCTGGGGCTGAGGCGAGCTCGATCAGGCGAGCTCACTGTGGTCTTCATCCCTAAACCCTATGCGAGTCCCTCTTCACAGAGGGAGCAAAAACCCCAACTAATCAAAAGGGACCCTCAGGCCCATTCTAACCAGCTCTGATACGATTGTGAGGTGGGAATGAATGGGAATTTCTCGGACTCTCTACTCACCAAAGTTTGTGTTGGAGGGTTTCCTCTATCCTCGGAACAAAAGATGCAAGGTCCCTGGAATCGGGTTGCGGCCCAGACTTGTTTGGCTGATCCACGCATGCAGTGAGACGGAACAGCTCTCATCTTTCACTGAGGACCAGCTCCCTAGTCCTCTGCGCAGAGTTTTCCAAAGTGGCTGGGGGCCCCGCTCTCGAGTCGCAAGCGATGGCGATGGGTTGCCCTGGCCCTGTATACGTGTTGCCGCGTGTTTGTAAAAAAGGAAGAAGTTCCAAAATCCTGAACACACCTATTCCACCTGTTGGTTCACATGTTTGAAGGAAACGACGTTAATGCGTTAGGTCCTTTGGGCGAGTGAGTTCTTTGACCTCCAACTATCACCCAGCTGTGAATGGGTCAAAGGAGACTCTAGGTCTTGGGGCTGGCAAGAGGCTGCAAGTTAGGCATTCGCTGCCATCAAGGCTGCGCCCATCGGAAGCACTCAGATTTTCCTTTGGTAGAGAGGGACTCAGGTCGATCCCGACAAGTCCGAAAGGACAAGAGTCAGGGGATAACCTTCTAGCGCTAGGCTTGCCAGTGCTTGCTTTAGGTTGCCAATACTGGACTTAGTATTGCCAAGATATGTAAGATTTGTGTTAGGTGTCCAGTACTTATTCATGTAGTATAATTGTAGTATGGGCAGTCTTTGA